GTAGATTGTCCATAAGGTACTTTTAAGAAAAATATTAACGATAGAATATGCACTCCATGTATGAAAGGATGTATATAATGTATTAATTAAACTACTTGCACTAAATGTGATTAAGGTTTTCATATAACTGTTAGGGATTAATGTAATATTAATTGTAAAACTTACGAAAATGATATTATAGATATATAGTACTTCTTGTGATTCACCTTACTTTTTATAAACAAAAGACAAGACATGTGTAGATGCTTGTAATAGTAATTAATATATAGATACTACTGATATTACTATACCTAAATGTAGTGATTGCAATATTTTATGTCTTACATGTACTGATGAGATGATTTGTAAAACTTGTGCAGATGGAAAATTTTTAAATACGAATACTTTATTGTGTGAAGCATGTGATACCTCATGCGCTACATGTGAAAATGGTACTGACAAAACTAAATGCCTTTCCTGTTCATCTCCTTTATATTACCAATAACTGGAAAAAAAATGTGTCACGGAATGCTATTCAAACTAATATCTGAATTCTTCTAATATCTGTAAAGCATGTAACAGTACGTGTGCTACATGTATAGATGGGATTTCCTGTAGTACTTGTAGTTCTGGATCATTTATAAATTCAGAAAGTGGTTTATGTGAATTGTGTGATTCAAATTGCAAAACTTGTAATGTTTCTAAAACTGCCTGCCTTTCTTGTAATGACCCTTAATATTTATAAACAAATCAAACTTGCCAAAATTCCTGTTTGCCGAAACAATATCCGGATCTTACGAAAAAATGTTAACCCTGTAATATATCATGCTTATCATGTATTAATGGAAATTCATGTTCCACATGTGATGATGGTATGTATTTAGATTCTACAACTAATTATTGTTCGCCTTGCTCTGATAACTGCAAAACTTGCGTTGATAATCCTTCTAAATAATGTACAGAATGCTTTCCTAATTATTTTATGACTTAAGACCATAAATGCGTTTCTGCATGCTAATAGAATTAGTATGTAGATGCTTTTAGGACATGTTAATCATGTAATGTGACTTGTCTTACTTGCTCAAATGCTATTTCATGTAATACATGCGGTGTGGGACATTACAAAAACACAAGAAGTGGTTTTTGTGAAATATGTGATAATAATTGCAGAACCTGCGAAGATGGAATACTAGGCAATTAGTGTATTACATGTAATAATCCTTAAGTTCTTTTATAGACTAAGAAATGTGCCGATAAATGCGATATATAATAATTTTCGGATTCAAATAAAATTTGTTAATAATGCGATCCTACCTGCCTTACTTGTTCTAATTCTAATACATGTGATACGTGTGAAGGAGGAAAATATTTTAAAAGAAGTACATTAAAATGTGAATTATGTGGCTTAACTTGTAAAACATGCATAAAAAAGGACATGTGTCTATCTTGTAAATAGAATTACTTATTAACCAAAAATCAATAATGTAAATAAGAATGTGATGAATCTTATTTCCCAGATTCTTAGGGAATTTGTTAACCTTGTGGTTCTAATTGTTTAAACTGCAAATAATATACGGAATGTTTAGAATGTTTTTAGGGATTCTATTTATATAATGGACTCTGTAGTAATGAAATGTTGTGCTTTGGGAATACTTACTTAGATGAAAACCAATGTAAAACTGAATGTTCTTAAACTAAATTTAAAAATATGAAGACTAATAGATGTGACCCTTGCCATATTTCATGCGAAAAATGCACATAAGCAGGCGATAATAAATGTTTGGAGTGTAAAAAGGGACTTGTTTTTAATAATGGCAAATGTGAAGGTTAATTATAAGAAACATAAGAAATATAAAAAAAATAAGAAGCACATTTAACTAGTAAGTTGATGTTTAAAGCATATCTAGTGATTACTATATATACAATAATTGCATGCATAATTTGCCACGTTTTAGATAACAGGTTATATTTTAGAAATAAAAAAGAAAATAATTTCAAAGAAGCAGAATGTAAACCGAAAATAACAAAATCTGAAAATTAACACGTAGAAAAGTTTGACCAGATTGATAATATAGTGATATAACAGAAAGAAAATCTAATTTAAATGCTTAAATCAACTATTCAAAAAGGAAATTAAATAAGCTAATAAATAATAGGCTTAGACACAAAAAATAATAATATAATAGATGTAAATCCAAGAAAAAAAAGTAATTTAATCATTTAAAGCTATACTAATAGTTTTAGTCCTCATAATTATATAGTTGGCAAACAAGCTAAATAAAGCCTTCAAAAAAGTGCAACTGCTATTTCAGTTGATAATTCTCAAAATGAAATAAAAAATAAATCTGCAGTTAATATGAATCCTGATAATTATAAATATGATTAGAAAATATATTTTACACTTATTGCGAATGAATTTATTGAAATGTATATTTTGTAAGACAATTCACGTAATTCAGTACTTAGGCATTACTTATGTATTTTAAATAATGCTTATTTATGCTAATTTGCTTTTATTCTTTATTTTTTGGATATTTTATAATGACAGTTATGATTTTGTGTTGTATTTTGGTTAAATCATATATGAAAAAATTTATTGAAAAATATAATATTTTATAGCGTTTTAGATATATTATTCCAAATTTGTTTTTTTTAGTGATTTTTTTGATATTTTTTATTTTTTTTATTATAAAAAAATGTAGTATTATTACTTAAAAAGAAGATTATAAATGGACTGTTTGTTATTTAATAGTGTTTTATATAGATTTAATTTTGATTTAAAATATTATTTCATTTTTAAATTATTGTTCGAGTGTAAGAAACATGAAAGGATTTAATGATATATTATAGTAGATCTTAGATTATACATTCGTATAAAATAATATTATAAATTATATAAAAAATTAATGAATAAAATATAAATGATAATTGTTATATATTTTTTTAAATTAAAAAATTTAAAAAAAATTATTAAATATTTATTTTTTTATATGAAATAAACAAAAAACTTCATAGAATATTTTAATCTGAGTTTTATAGTAATAAAACTTTTTCCAAAGAACTTGTAAAGAATATTCTTTTTTTATTCAAATACAATAGAATATCTTAAATTTCTAACAAATCATCATTTTATTGCTACTACTAAAAATCATAAAGAGCTTAAAAGCTAAATTTTTTTCCAAATATCAGCCAAAATGTATAAGAAGTAATTAGATCTGCCAAACCAGCCATACAAGTAACCGGTTCTATTATATCCCAACTAAATTGCACATAAGTAGCATATTAAAATAAAAAGACTTATAAAGTAATAAATGCAAAGAAAGTTTTTATAAATCGATTTTATTTTTTTGAAACTTTCATGAGATTATTCTCACTTTATAATTTTAAAACATAATTTTTTTTTTTTTCAACAATTTAAATAGTTTAATTAAGAAAATTCAATTAATTTTTATTTTCTATACAAATCTAATTAATAACATTAAGAGTACATAACTAAATATAACTTTTATTAATTTTTTAGCTTTTATTAATTAAATTTTACAATCTCCCTATTAAATCTGTTAAAACCTATATTTAATAAATATTATTTCCCGTGATTATCAATATATCATTTAAAGCTTATTAATCGTATTTCATATTAATGCTTGGGTTTACATTAATATTTTATATATATTAATTATTAGTATTTACAATTATATAAGACTCATTTTCAATATTTAAAATAAAATCATCTTATAAAATTACACTTAGAGGAGTATTTACAGAATAATTATGGCCTTCTTTCGATTAAAATTTTATTATTCCATATTAGTAATAATGGACGAATTCAAACTAAAGTTCTTGGATTAATTTATTTTAGTCTATGGGAAATAAACGACCTGGTAAATTTATAAAATAACCTTTGTGATCGAATTGCAATCTTAATACATTGGCTTTTATTTTTGGTTTTTATTTTAGTGTTATTTTTTTAAGTGTTTACTTATTTTTTATGATGAATAATAATATCTATTGAATATTTTTTTTAGCATTATTTTGATTGTAATATAAAATATTATTATTTTTTTAAATAAAAAATAAAAGAAATTTTTTTTTTTTTATTTTATTTTAATTTAATTTTTTTTTTGTATTTAATTTTTCTATTAATATTGTAATAATACGTTATTTTTTTTTAAATAAAAAGAAAAAATGAATAATTTATTTTGGAAAAAGCAAGATTTCAAAAACAAAGAAGATTTCCCAGCAATAGAAGAAGGAGTTTCATTAGATTATTAAATCGATAAAAACAAATATATATATTTTGGTGGAATAAAATAAATAGATATTAGGAAAGATGACAAGTTGATAGACAGTTTTTTTAATTTTTTAAAAATAAAATAAAAATCAATAAATAAATTACATAATAAAATAAAAAATAGAATAAATACAGTCTATAAATTCAAAAACAAGTTTAAACCAACTATAATCTTTAACTTAATCTGAAAATGATTATTTACCGAATCCAATAACATAAAACGACACTATATATTATTTCGACCCATGTATTTATTTATTTATCATTTTAAAAAAATAAAAACTAATTTATCATTTTAAAAAAATAAAAACTAGAAACACAATAATGGAAAAAAGAATAATGTTCTGGTAAAACGCCTTTAAAACGAATACATCACCATAGTTGGTATGAGTCTCCTAATTTGTTTGTATATGGAGGTTTATCAGCTGAAAAAACAATACTAAACGATATGTACGCATTAAATTGTGAAACTTTAGTTTGGAAAAGATTTTTTTGGTTAAATGGACCTTCTCCTAAAATATATTCCTAATTAATTAATATGGGCGATAAAAATATGTAATAGGAGGCGCTTCCATGCCAGAGAATCTCCTTTCTAGTTAAATTTGGAGTTTTTCTTTAGATAATGTTTAATGGGAAAGTAGTACAAATGAACTTTCTGGTTTATAATGGGAAAAAATGATTTAATTGTAAAAAATATAATATTAAAAAAAAAAAACTATAAAAAAAAAAGGATAATTAATTTTTTTTTCCCACTAAAGCTCACAGTGCAATTAAAATTTCAGATACTCAAATATTTGTATTTGGAGGTTTTAATTAAAAAAAGTAATGTACAGATACTTCCATAATAATAAATGTAGAAACTCGAAAAGTATCATTATATGAAACTAGAGGGTAAAAACCTAATCCTAGAGCATTGCACGTAAATTATATATATAAATAATAGAAAAATGAATAATATTTATATATATAGAAAATGCTTCCAATAAAAGAAAATGTAGTGTGTCTTTTTGGAGGAATAAGTTGTCCTGAAGATGCTATAAAAAGCTTAACAGCTACATATTTGAATGATTTTTATATTTTAAATTTAAATGAAGGCTATTGGTCTCGTCCAAATGCAGGTGGATATGTTCCAGCTCCTAGGTATTCGATCTCTATTGCATCTAATTAGAGTGAAGTTTAGGGGGAAATAATATTATTAGGAGGTAGGACTTTAGAAAGCATAGGGGATAATAATATATATATATTAACTGAGGTGGATGCTTTTGAGGACGAAATATGGGGTTTGAAGTGCAAAGAAAAAAATTAATATGAAGCTTTTAAAGAACTTATAAAGAAAAATAAATAGGCTACAAATATTTCATTAATTAATTTGGAGTTTAATGAAGCTGAAAAATATATTTTCGAGTAAAAAAAAAGAATAAGTGATTTGGAAATTGTATACAAAAATCTAAAAAAACAAAACAAAGAATCTGTAGAAAATTAATAAAAATATTCTGAAAAAATAATTAATCTAGATAAGGAATTAATATAGCAAATTGATATGTTAAATATAGAAATTGAATAAAAAAAATAAAGAAATAATTAAAATTAATTTTTATTAGGAAAAGTTACTATACTTTTAGCTTAGGAGAGGAAAAAAAGAAAAATTCTTTAATAGAAATAAACTATAATATAAGAAAATTTTAAAAAAACAGAAAATTTGCTAAACACATTAGATTAAGTTTATTGTAAAGGAGAAAAAGGTAGTTTTGTTTAAGGATTCTATATATATATATATATATTTATATTATTTTTTTAGAATATATTTATTATTTTTTTGCTTAATTATTTAATTAATGATAATTAAATTAAAAGATTATTAGATATATAAATTTGTTAAATATATTAAAATTATATTATATGCAATTATGTATATAATTTATTATATAAATTTAATATATATTTATATTTTTATATTCAAATCTTATTTTTTTATATTTTATATATTTTGAATAGATAATATATTATCTGGAATAGTTAATAATGAATTAATTAACAAAATTGATTAATTAAGAGATTAAACAAAGATATGTATTAGTTAGTTTAAGGATAGTTTAGATATATAATAATAAAAATTAAATAAAAATAAAAAAGAAATAAAATCATAAGTAAATTAAAAAATATATTTATTTTTATTAAATTTAATTATTAATTATTTTAAAAGAAAGAATCTTTAAAAAATTAAATAAATGTTAATGAAGAATGGAAAAAGCTTCTTTCAAATGACGAAAAGGCAATTTTAAATAAACAAGAAAAAAAATGAAAAAAAAAAAAATATATATATATATAATTATTTTATTACAACAATAAAAAATTTAAAATTATTAAGAAATAATATTAATAAAAATATATTTAATAATAATTTTTATATATATTAATATATATATATATATATATGCATACATTTATTTATTATATTATTATTTACAAAAAATAATAAACAATAAATTAATACATTTTTCATTTTCCGCTTGCGAAATTTTTCCCAGCCTATACAAAAGTTTACCTTAACTAATCATGTTTTAAAATAATATCAATTGGAATCATATTAAGTACCCCTTTAGTCATCCATATTCTATTAATAAGCTTTCCTATATAAGGTATCCATATGAAAACATAAACAATTACCAATAAAAATACAAAAATTGCAAAAATTATAATATTTATTATATTTTTCTAATTTAAATATCTCTTTGTTTTTTCATCATATAACAAATTCATTTAATCTATCACTTTAATAATATATTCCATAATTGTATTAATTTCAATAAAAGTTTATTTATTGAGTCCTTCTATTTAACATTTATTATTATTCTTCTTCTCTTTTATTTATTAATATTAAGAAATATAAGTCTTTATTTATTCCCCACTAACTTAAATTTAAGAAATTATTCTTTATAAGCTTTTATTTAAAGTTTAGTCTTATAGATTACACTAATATTCAGCTTTGCATACATTTTGGAACATTATTTAATCAAATTAGTTTATATAAGAGTCATATTAAGATGGAAATTAATATTTATATGTACTAATGATATAATTTTCATTTTCAGTAATATATTATTAGTATTAATCTTATAAAATTATATTACCAAAATCTTTTATTAAATTACAATTTACGATTGATTCTTATAAAAAAATTTAATAGTATTTTAATAAATATGGCCTTTTTCTTATATATTTACTATGGGAAAATATCGCATTTAAATTTTTCTAAAAAACATTTTCAAAACTAGTATAAATTATAACAAAATAACCAATTAAAATTAGTGAAAAAAATGAAAAATATAATATTGTTATATTTCTAAAATAAATATAAATATTTTTTTATTTTTTTATATATACTTATTATGATCTTTTGAAATGAGATTTTTTTTTATCGGATTTTCCACTTCGTCTATTTAAAGATTATTTTCTTCGATTTTTTCTAAAGGTTTAATATTTTTTATCTCATTTTGTATTTAAAATTTATTTTTTTACAAAAAATTGACTTCTTATGCACTTGATTTGTCTAATATTGACATGTTGTTAGCATTTTTATTCTAAAGAAAAGTTTAATCTGGCATTTCTAGATTTTATTAAACCTATTTATTCTAAATTTCTTCATTACTTTTTTATTATATAAACATATTATGCTACTCAGCCTCATCAGGTTTCCTCTCTATATAAATTTTCAAATAAATCTCACATTTTTGTGAAAATGCCTTTATTTCTTCAATTGGAACAATTGAAAAAAATCCCAAAACACACGCATTTGATTTTTAAATCGAAAAAATCATTGGCAAAATAATCATCGAAGAAGCAACCACAAAAAAAATTCCAATAATCATAATAATAAGAAATATTTTACCGAATTTCTATACTTAATCATAATAATAATCAAAATATTCCAAAGCACTTTACTCTGAACCCTATCTTAAAGCATACATTCCGTTAAAATTTATATAGTAGAAATATTATTTAAACTAACTAACTTAATCTTACTAATTTTATTATTATTTTAAGTCTAAATAATTACCATTTGCTATACTTAATGATTGTCCGACGTAAAAACTTAAAGCATCCGTTAAATTTTATTTTAAATTTATTATTCTACCAGTTGTAAGCAATTTCTATTATATATATATAAATAACTTTATATATGTATTTTTATTTTACAGACGATGTTATTTCAGCACTTGATAAATAATCAGGACTGTTTTATTCAATTTCAAGTTTAGATTTTAATACATTAAAAAGAATTTCATTCAATTAATTAATTATATTTTTTAACTTTATGGATAAATAAAATAAATATATTTATTAATAAAATACTTAAGAAGCTAAGTTAATATAAACATTTAATGAAAAATTACTAGAAACAAATAAACTATAATAATAAAAAATATTAACATATATATATTTATATATATATATATATATATATATATATATATATATATATATTTTTTTATATACTTATCTATTATCCACATTTTTCTAATAATAAAATGTACATCAGCTACACTACTAGGCCTCTAGAAAGATTGAAAATTCATATCAAAAGATTTTTAAATTATTTTATGTTATTAATTTTTATAGATTAATTCTGTAATCGTTAAACCCAGTAATGCCAAACAAATTATAAAAGAACTTATTTATAGAATTTTTATAATTTTTGGCATTGATTTTTCAGAAATTCCGCTTTTAATATCCTTTAATTGCCTAATCTCGTCTTAATCTTCTTAATTTAATGTTGATCCTTAATTTTATTAACTCTCATCTTAATTTAAATCCACTTATTCTTCTTCATTTTGATAATTCTCTCCCTATTCGGAGTCATCATTATTATTATTATTATATTTTTCTTAATTATTATCATTATTCCCTAAATGAATATCTTCTTCTTACTAATTTTTATCTTACTCACAAAACTTAACAATATTAATAGTAACATCTTTATAAACAAACTATTCGACTAACCAAATATTAATAAATTAATTTTTATATTTATCTTATATTATTTAAATTGATTTATTATTATCTAAATTACTAATTTATTATAAATTATTATCAATAATGCTTTCTTTTAAACATTAAACATCTTACTATAATAAAGAGCTTTCTTGAGAAATCAAAAAAATCTAATCTATAATTGTCGTGTCTATTTATATTACAGCTCCCTATTAACTTTTCATTTACTCTATTATTTCCGGCTATATAATTTAAGGAAAAATCAAATCTATAGTAAATTAATTACTCATAGGACTATTATTATTAACCAATGAAATTGGTATACCATAATTTTCGTAACATCCTTATGTGATTCCAATTAGAGTTTAGTTTTGTAAATTTTAGTCTACTTTGTATATTAAATATTAAAAAATTGTCTCTTAGTTATCATCATTTCTTATATATGGAGCACAATAAACTTCATTTATTTCTTTAAAAAAACCAACAAATTATAAACCTTCGTCTAAATTAGGAAGAATCTTTATCATTAATATGCATGGAATTAAATAACCATCCTTATTTACAGGAGTAATTAATCTTTCTATACCAATTGCCTTTGGTACTGAAGTATCTATATAATTCTATACTAATCCATCATGTATTTATTATAATAATTTAGGCATTATATGATTTTTTATATTTTGGTCTATAATTTCTTATTTAGGCCATCCTAATATTCTTGTAAAATCTAAATAAAAAAATAAAATATATAATTAATATATTTATAAAAAAAAATATATATAAAATAATATATATATATATATATATATATATTATTTATATATATATATATTTTACCATAATTTGTATTTTAAACATAAAATCGAGTTGATAAATTTGCACTCATTAATAGTATACCAGTATTTGAATTTTCACTATATTTCATATTTTTATTATCAGAAAATTATTTGTTCACTAATTAACTTTTACTTACATAAGCTGCTTTTTCTAAATACTCTTAAGCTTCAAAATCATCATTTATAATCTTTTAATATTTATTATAAAAAATGTTAAAATAAAATTACATCTTTAATAAAATTCCCATAAATCAATAGCGACCTTATATTATTTTATCTAATCTAACATAATTTTTTATAACAAACAAACACTTCTTCTATAGTATAAGTAATCCTATTTCCTATTATTTATAATTTCTCAATATCAGGATTTTCTTCTAATAATTCTCTCCAAAATTCTAAATGCAAATTGACAGATATTTCTATTGATTTCATAAATATAACAAATTAATTCTCATAATGCACAATTCCATTAACATCCACATTTTTATTCTATTCGTTTCTCATATCAGTATCTATTATATCCGTTTCAATTACATTTTTATATCTAAATAAAGCTAATTATTATCTCATTGAAGGTTTATATTATTCAGCTATCATCATTTCTATTAAAGCTTTATATTTTAATTTAAGTTTTTCGTGATATATGTAAGCATTTAAAATATGCAATTAAGCACATTTATTATATTTCTTTAAAATAACATCAATAATGCTTTTTAAAAACATATACCATTTAGCTTATTCTCTATAAATAATATATATATATATATATATATATATATATATATATATATATATTTATATATTTATATATTTATATATTTATATATTTAATAACTATATATTTACACATCTGTTATTCCACTTTTTTTTTAAAAAAAAAATTAATTAAATAGATATAGAAATAACATCTATAATATATTTACTTAGTGACTTCTATTTAAATATCACTATTAATTAAAAATTAACTCGAACAAATATCTTGATTGTACTTACATTTTTACACATGCATTTTAAGTATACCTTAAAGTTAAATAAAAGCATATCTACTATGTCTATTTTCTATTAAATCAATCATGATAAGACAATACTATTTCATATCATCTGAATTTTTAATTTCATCAGGAAAAAGAGTTATAAAATTTTATTTTCTAATTTTAATTATATTAAAAAATAACGCATTAACCAATATATTTCCAAAAATAATATAAAAAATTGTAATATCCTCATTTTCCCCTTCGTAAATCATTAAACCTTACACAAAACCACATAAACTGATCCAAAAAATAAAAATCTCACATATAATTTATAAATAATAAGTATATTTATTACAATAAAGCTACTTACTATATAATTCCAATAATAAAACAACCTAAAAAGCTACAATTATAATTTCAAAATTATATGTAATACTGATTTTATAATCTAAAGCCAAATATACACATAAAAAAAGTTTTTAAATTTATTTTATATATGGAATATTTGTCGGAATAGATGCAAAAGGAATATTACTTAAAGGATTAATTTCATTTAACAATAAAGTAAAAATATAAGAAAAAAATAACTAAATTAAAATACCGATGATAGATAATAATATAAACCCAATTTTATATTCGTTATTGCAATAAATACTACCGAATTTATTTTATAAACAAAATATATTATTTATAAAAATATCATAAAAAGGAAGTGCCTACACTGTTTTTACTAAAATTCCGAAAAAATTTAACAACTTAAAACCATATCCTAATATTCCTAATGATTATCTATTTTATATTATTTTAATTATGTTTTTTTTTTAAAAAAAACCCTTTTTTTCTTCTTGATATGCATATGAAACACACTATAAATAATAATAAAATGGTTAGATTTATGCCAAATGAAAAGTAAACTAATGTTTACATTAAATCGATATTTATTTCATCAATAAGAAATTAAAACTAATTTGCATTTGTGTATATATATATATATAATATAGATAAATAGTTTTTATTACTTATAAATATTTTAAAATTTCTAAAAATTATAAAACTATTCCTCCTTTCCATATAAATTTTAAGCGAGGATGAATTACAAAATATATAATTTATAAAGATTCTATAATAATAAATATTCTAAAAATATATAATGAAATTATATTTTCTTGAATAATATGATTCATAAATGAATAAAAATTTAATTTAAACTCGCTCATTATTTATTCTAATTTGGTCATATCTTAATAAAGTATCTTTTTATTTTAAGTTATCATTTTATCTTTTGATTACTATTATATGAATATATATTTTTTATATATATATATGTTTAGGGTTATTGAAAATACAAAATATTTTTTTTTTATTTATATTTAAAAAAAAATTCAAATAATTTATTTTGTTTTTTTTTAAAAAAAAGAATGAAAATATAATTATAATTATACAAATGCAAATTTGTTATTATTTTATAATAAATTTAAATTTATATAAATTAAAATAATTTATATATATATTAAATTTAATTAATTAGAAAGAAAAAAAAAATTAAATCATTAAATAAATATAAATAAAAGTTAAAATAAAAATATATATTATTAATATATATTATCATTATTTTATATTATGATTTAATAAGTATTCTATCAAGTTTATAGTGACTTTTATATTCAATTATTTAATAAAAATATCAAATATTTATTTATTTATTTTTTAATATAATTTATAAATTTTTTAAGAAATGTTTTTTATTTATAATTTTAAAATTTTTATTAAAAAAAAATAAATTAAATAATTATATGATTCCAGATAATAAATAAAACATAGATTTCATTTAAAAATATAAAAGTTATTTTTTACAATAACCTCATTTTTTGAAATTTTAGATATTTTACCTAATTTTAATACATTTATCAATAAAAATAATAATAATATCATTAAAATAAATACAATTAAAAACAAATGATACAATTTTTTAACCCTTAAAAATATTAACAATATGTCTGTTTTTAATAAATTTGTTTAATAAAGTTATTAACTCATCAAAAATACCAGAAATTTTAGTCGATATATATAATCTTTTAATGAGTATTGGAGTATTATAGTTATACGCATTAAATTCAGACGGGAATTATTTTTCTTTAATATTATCCGATTTTTTATTTTTCAAATAAATAAATGAGAAATAAAAACAATGGGAATAATTAAAATTAGTTTTTATTATTTTTATAGTTAAAATTATATTAATAATCTAATTATCATTTCTATAATAATATTAAGATATACCATTTATAATCCTATATTTTATTTTATATAGCTAATAATTATTCTATATAATAATTAAAAAAAAAGAAATACAACCTTAAAATTTAAACAATAACCTTAAATTTTATAAGTAAATTTAAAGCAAACAGAATATAAATATATTAGCAAACATTAATTTAAAAAGCCCAAATTTAAAAATAGTAAATAGTAATTAAAATATAAATTCGATATAAATAATAAATAATAAAAAAACGGAAAAAATCATAAAATTCAATTAAAATAAACTGATACTAATCTTATAACTTTTAAAAACCCTAAGTTTAAATCTTAAAAAGCATAACAATAGCATATTTTTACTGATTATTAATTATACGAAAATCTAATCCAGAACATAAACGAAGGCATAATATTAATAAACTAAGACCAGAAAATAATATACAATAACATCAAATCATAATAATATATTGGCTTTTCAGAACCAGAAGACATTCTTCTCTAACTAAAACTATTTCCTTTTAATAAAAATATTTTCAATGATTTATTTGAAATAGACGACAATTATGAAAACACTTAGAACGAAAATCCAGTTTAAACTGAAAATAATATATAAAAAACCAAACAAAATATTAATGAATAAACTACTTCATTATTATCCAAATAAGCTTTTATAGATTAAAGTAAATTTGAAACTAATAAATTTAATAGTAGTAATATTAATAATAAAAGTAAAAGTCTAGACGATGCCATATCTTAATAATTTTCCTATAAAAAAAACCATTCAATATTAAACAATGAAGAAAATAATGCATCTTAAATAAATAATCACAATACATCAATGTTTTTATTTAATTTAAAAAGGGATTTAAACCTATATAAAAATAATATAAATGATTAAATGATAAGTTAATATTTATTAATGGAAAATATAACAAATTTAAGCGAATTATTTCCTATTTTTTTAAATTTTAATTTAAGACAATATTATTTTGCACAAACTTCAGTTGTAATGCAAAGGCCTGGAAAAAATATCGAAAAAAAAAACGCTTATGAAATAAAAGATAATGATTTAATATTTCTAATTAAAATTTAAAAAACTTCTTTTATTTTGTAAATTAAAATAAGCTCATATTCTTACGTTTCTTCGCCTAATTCGTCCGAATAATTACTTCTGATTTAAATGTAGGAAATTTCTTAGCTTTTTCTAAGATTATAAAAAGATAATCTCTATCTTTATAAAAATAAAGTTTTATCTTCTGTATCCCATGAGTTAAGAACGCCACTAAATTGTAGCATAAATTTATTAGAAATGGCTAAATAATTGCCTTATATAGACTCTAATATAAAAGAATAGTGGATTTTACCGTCTCTTTATTCAAATTATTTACTTTTGAACATTATCAATGATATACTAGATATGGCTTAAATGAATATGGGCGACTTATAGCTTTTTTTTAATGAATTCTCTCTGTAAGACTTATGTATAGAATGTTTAAAATTAATAAGTATTCAAGCATCTTTAAAAAATATATCATTGTAATTTAATTATGACGAAAAGCTTCCATCGAAAGTTTATTCTGATTAAAATCGAATTAGATAAGTCCTTTTAAATTTATTAAGCAATTCTTTAAAATTTACAGAAAAAGGCTTTATTTAAATAAATGCTGTCTGTATTTCAAATTAATTCATTTAAATTTAAGTCACGGATAGTGGATGTGGAATCCCAAAAGAGAAACTAGAAAAAATTCTTTTATAATTAAATTCTTTAGAAAATTTAAAGTATTATAATAATGGAAACCTTTGGTCTGGACTTGGCTTATTTATTTCTAATAGATTAGCTTTGGGTTTAGGAGGAATTAATAAAGGCTTAGAAATTGAAAGCGAGGTCAATAAAGGGAGTTAATTTGGTTTTTTTATTTCCAATAGATATTTAAATAAATAAAAAGGCTTAAAGTTTATATAAGGGAATAATTTTGTAAAATGGAAGTCTTTTACTCTTACTTCCCGATAATTTTCTATTAATAGTCCTCTTTAATAAAAATCCATTAATAAAAACTGTGGGTCTAAACATTCTTTTAATAACTCTCAATTTAAAGGTTCTAATAAAGAATAATATGATGAAGAAGATACTTATTATCAATTAAAGTAGCATATAAAAAGAAATTCTATTAAAATGTAAGATAGTGATGGGAAATCATTTCCTTATTTAGAAGAAGAAGATGATGAGGACGATTTTTAAAAAGATGAATCTAATATATAAAATGATTTTTTTGAGAAGAATAAATAAACTCCAAGGTCAAGTAATTTTATTGTTTATTTCAATAATTTAGAAGAATAAAGTAAATAAAATTTACAATAAAATAATGATACCATAAAAGAAGAAAAAAGTGATTAAACAGAAGAAAAAAATGAAGAATAAGAAGAAATATAAGAAAAAGACGAATTAGCTTTATAAGAAATCATTTCTATGGAAGATTTTTAAACATATTGAATAATTAAGAGATGAAATGGAATCAATAAAAAAAAAAATATAAAAGAACGCTTTATTAAATATAACACAAAAAAAAAACAATGTAAATGTTCTAATATACTAATAGTAGATGATAATGATTTTAATTTAAGAGTTTTAGAAATGATGTTGCAATAATATAGTTTTTTTATAGATAAGGCACTTTCAGGAATTAGCGCGATTTCTTTAGTAAAAGAAAAATTTTTTAATAATAATTAAAAATGCTGTAATAAATATAAACTTATTCTTATGGATATTGATATGCCTATTAAAAATGGGCATTAAACTACAAGAGAAATAATTCAGTTTTTTCGTTCGTAAAATCAAGAACCCTCTGTTATTTCAGCTTGTAGTGCTTTTGTCATTGAAACTGAAAAAAAAAAAGCAAAATAAAGTGGAATGAAATACTTTATTACTAAACCTGTTAATATTTAAATGTTAGAATTAGTTTTAAAAAATGTTTTTTTAATATGATTTTTTTTTTTTTTTAAATAAATTTTCATTCTTTTACAGTATAAAAAATAAAATAATGTGTATTTTTATATTCATTAGTTTGTTTATTTAGTATTTGTGACATTTTAAAATTATTATATATCTTATATATAATATATTTTCTACAGATTAATAAATTTATATGTATTTTTTTTTTGCTTTACTACAAGTTCCAAAATATTATTATTTATGAAAATTGCTTTAAGCTCTGTTTTAAAAAATAATATTTTCTTTCTTGTTTATTTATGATATTAGATTAATTATTTTATTTTATTTTAAAAATAAAATATAAAGAAATTTTTAAATAAAAATATATAAATATAATTATAATAAAAATAATTAAATATTATTCTAATATACTATAAAAATCAATATAATTATTTATTTAAAAATGATTTTATTTATTTGATTTATAATCATCAAACATTAATATTTTCTTTACAAATTTACTTTTTTAAATTTAAATTATAATATATTAATAAACTGTTTCTAATATAACTATATTGTTTTAATAAAAAATAAGTAGCAAATTAAATATACATTATCATATATTTTTATATATATAAAAAAATTAATTAACATAATAATAATTACAAATAAATACAAGTAATAAAAAAATTATTAATATATATTAAAACAATATATTTATTTAAATGCAATGAACAGAAAAAAATGATACTATAAAATCTTTTTTATAAATAATAAAACCTAAACACCTTCAAAACCAAATAAAATAAGTTTTTTTAATTTAAATAAATAAATAAGAATAAAATTAAATATGGAAATAAAATAGAAATGTTTATGATAAAATATACTAAAATGCATCGCCCTATTTTCTGATTATTAACAAAGATAAGAAAAACCGCATTATATTTTATATAAAATATTAAAAATCCAAGACTAAAACAATATAATAAATTTAATTTTACATTTTTAAATATTAATCATCAATAAGAAATAAATTTTATTATTAAAATACTAAATAATTTTTTTAATTTTTCTTTAGAAAAAAAAAAAAATCTATAACTAAATATAAATAATATATATTAATAATTATACTTATTTTTATTAAAAAAAAAATAAAATATTAAAAATAAACATAAAAAATATAAAATCGATCAATTTCCATCATATTCCTCCTGTTTGTTCAATAACGACATCTATTTCATCATTATTTTCCATTTTAAGCTATATTTTTATAAAATATAAAAAAAGTATAATAATAATTTTAATAAATACATCTGCTGGTGTATGTGATTCTAAAATTCTGTCTCCATCAAACAAGAATCTCACATTATTTAAATTAACCTATAATTATATTAAAAAGATATTGCAATAATGATATATTTAATACTTGGACTCTTTAGCAATATGCATCCATTAGTTTTTTAAATTATGTGGTTTTTTTAATTTTGAAAAATATTTCTTCTCCATCCTTTTTTTAAAAAAAATAATCTTTTTTTTATAAAAAATAAATATTTACTTATGATTTGACTTTAAGATTTAAATATTCGCTGTTTAGTTATGCCTAATTATTGTTATCAGCCATTTTAATTATATATATATATATCTTTTTATTATTTTTCCTTTTATTTGTATAATTTTTTATTTTATTTTTTTAATAATAATTTATTGTTTTATTTTAATTATAATTTTATATTTGTTTTAATAATTATAATTAATTGAATATTTATTTATTTAAAAGGAAAATAATTTTTTTAATTTCTAAAATATTTGCTAATAAAAAAAAAAAGAAGAAAAGAGTATTTTTTTTTTTTTGATTTTCTTTATAATTCTAGATTACTAAAACTAGATTTATTTTAAATAAAAAATATTATTTTATAAAATAATTTTTTTCTAATAAAATAGAAAAATAATTCTTAATCTAAATATTTTTATATTAATATATCCATAAAAATATTTATTTTATTTATAATTACATATTTTTAATTATTATATAATATTAATAAAAGTTAAAAATATGTATTTTCTGTAAAAATAATATTAGATATTTCTTTATTTAAAACAATATTAAGTTCTTATTTTTAAAATAGTATTTTTACAAAATTTTATTTATTTATATTTTCAAATTTAAAATATTTGCTTAATTTTTTCTTTTTTTGTTAAGAATATAATTAAAAATATATAATTGAAACAAAATTTAACAATTTAAAATAAATTAATTAGATATTATAATACTTCCTTAATAATTTTTACAAAAATAATACGTTTAAAAAAGATATATCCATTAAAGCAAAAAAAAAAAAAAAAAAAAAGAAAGAAGAAAACATTTAAAGTATAATTATATTAATTAAAAAATATAAAAAATTATATAAATAATTATTTTTAATTAAAACATAAAAATATTTATAAATAAATAAAATAATAAATATTTTCAATAAAGCATAAATGAGCCTTTTTATAGGTAATATATCATCTTCTATAGATTAAAGAAGACTTCAAAAAGAATTTTAAAATTTTGGAAAATGTTATATTAATTTTAGAGTAAATTATTAACTTATAAAATATTATTTTTTATTAAAATAAAAAATAAATAAAAAAAAACCAATTCATTTTAAATAAAAAATAATTAAAACACAAAAAAAAAGCATAAATATGCTTTTGCTTAATACGAAGATGAAAGAGATGCAGAAGATGCTAAATATGAAATGCATAAGAAATATTTAGGAGGTTTTATTTTAACAAAAAATAATAATAATAAAAATACAAATTCTTTTGCTAAAAAAAAAAGGTTTATAAATTACTGTTGAATGGTCTAAAAAATCAGGTAGATATGAGTAATCAAACGAAAAATTTTCATATAGAAATAGTAGAAGATATTATGATAAAAGTGAATCAAGGCATAAAAAGAAAAATAAAAAAAATCGAGAAGTAGTAGTTCAGAAGAAGATAGAAAGAAAACTAGAAAGAAATCAAAAAGAAATAAAAGTATTAGTAGCAAAAAAATAAAAAAATCTAAAAAAACAAAAGATTCTAAGATTAAAAAATCAATATCTATAGAAAAAGTTAAATAAAATACTACAATAAATATTTTAAATTAAAAAAATGAAAATAATTTAAATGAAAATAATTAAAATGGAAATATAATAAACGAAAAAACATAAAATGAAGAATAAAATAAATCAAAATATTAATGATTTCTTATATAAATATGTAAATAAAAAAAGTTAAATTTACTTTTAGTTATTATTATTTTTTTTTTTAAAAAAAATAAAAAAATAAAAAAAAGATATTTAATTATTTTTTTTACTTGAATAATATTATATTTAAATTTAATAAGAATTATAAAGATAAATAAAAAGCATTTTAAAGATTACTATGGATTTATTTCTATATCTTAAATTATTTTATTAATAAAATTGAAAATATTTGTTCTTTTATTATAATTTTGTTGATAAAAAAAAAAAAAAATCAAATATTTTATTTTATTTATAATAATTTAATCATTTTATTTGATAATTTAAATAAAATATATAAATTATATATATAATTTAAATGTTATTTAAAATAAAATTATTAAAAACTATATCAAAACTTAGGAATATAACTATAATTTTTCTAATTTTCATCAAAAAAGTAATCTTTATCATTTTTAAATTAACATTTTAAACTATCTTTGAATTTTTTTTCAGTGAAAGATATATTAATTTAACTTTAAAAAATTTCTTTTTTTTTAAAAAAAATTATTCTCTTTTTTAATTAGATTTTTTAAAAATTTTTGTTGTCTGTATTTTTAAATTATCATTTTTTCCTAAAATTTAATTATCAAAAGTTTAATTTAAACTATTTTTTAATTTTCCCAAAATAAAGTTATCAAATTATTATTTATGGACAATATTTTATTTTTAATTATTTTTTTTCTGAATAATAATATTTTAGAAGTATTTTTTATTTATAGAATTTAAAGATTCTTATGATTTTTTGGAATAATTTTTTTATAAATTTAAAGCTGATAATATTTTCTGTCCTAATTTTTTTTGACATTAAACATTATAAAAATCATTATTCTCCTCTTATTAAAGATCAATTCTTTATTTACTCAAACTGCCTTAATTATTATTCAATTTATTTAAATACTAACTATATTATTTATAATAACCATTTATAGTATTTTTAATCCCTTAATTATTTTTAAAAAGACTAATTTCTAACTTTTTAAGTTCCAACTTGATATCTTTTACACTTTATTAAGAATAAATAATTTCATATTAAGTAATTATATTATAATTTTATTATTCCATATTTTGTATTTGTTTATTTTTAATGGTTTTTTGTTTTAATAATTTTAAAGTGACTTTAGTTTTATTCTAAATTTTATCAAAAACATATTTATTCAGTATTTTTTACATTTTTTTTTAAGGGAATTTTTATTAAAAAAAAAAAAATTAGTTGTTATTGATTATAAATCTACTTTATTTTTTAGTTTTATTTGATTTCCTTTATTAATTTTTTATTATCCTTTGTTTTGATTTATTAACTTTTATTCAAGATTAGTAATTACTTTCTTTTTTACTTTTTTCGCTTTTATTTAGTGTTTCAAGTTTAAATATTATTCTTCTTTTTAAGAGTTATATTTATTTAAATTTGATTAAAAATTTATAATATTGCTACAATTATTTATTGTATTAGGTTAATAATTTAAATTGTTATTTTAATTATTTAGTTTACTGCATATATTACTAGATTAAGAATGTATAATATTTTATTAATTATTTAAATTTGATTATGAATATTTATTATTAAATTAAGAATATATATTATTAAGCTATGTACATATATTATTATTAGATTTTGTACTTATATTATTAGATTAATAAATTTTATTATTGATTTAAGAAAAAATAATATTAGATTAGGAATAATTATTATTTTAATAAGAATATCTATTATTACATTAATAATATTTATTATTGTCTTAAGAATATCTACTATTAGATTGAGAATGTATTAAATTTGATTATAAATTCAATATATTAGATTAAGAATGTATTAAATTCGATTAAGTATTATAAATATTTTATTAAGAATAATTAATATTAGAGGAATAATTTATATTAGATTATAAATACGTATTTTCGAATTCTTTTTTTTCTATAAGTTTTCATTTTTAAAAAAACTGATTCTTTTTATTACAAGATTTACTCAATTTTTTTTTATTCATTGATAAATTTTTTCCTCGAAAAATTATATATAAAAATAATGGTTTATATTAATCTAAACTATGAATTTGATAAAGATTCTCTTGTTTCTTTTTTGAAATTTAAAATTTAAAAAACTAAATCATTTGCTTATTAATAATCATTTTTTAAATTAAAAAGTTGTAGTTTTCTTAATTAAATTATATTATTTTATTTATTAAATTATTCAAAAAAATTCGAAAGGAAATTTATTCAGGTTATATATAAAAATATTTTTTTAAAATACTCTCTTCTTAATTTACCCTATTTTTTTCCTCGTATATGTTTTTTTAGAAAATCTCCAAAATTTAATTTTAATCTTTATGAATTTTCTAAAATTCTTATATTGCTTTTTCTCTTTCAATGTAAAGTTTAAATATATTTGCTATATCTTCATTAATCATAGTTTATGAGAAACTATTTATAATTTATATTTATTAATTTTATTTGTTTTCTTAATATTATGGATATTTGCATGTAAGAATTGAATATTATTCTAAAAAACTAGCCTACATTTATTTTTTTACAAAAAAAAAATTAATAATATATATATAAAAACATAAAAAAAAATAGATAAAAAAACTATTATAAAATATAAAATTTTAAATACTATATAATTTAAATTTTTATTATATAAAATGTTTTTTTATCTAATTTATTTAAGAATAAATATATATATTATTTAATAATTGAATATATATGTTATAATTACTAATCTTTTTATATTTTTTAAAAAAATTCTTTTTAATATTAATTGAAAAAAAAAAATATATATATATATATATATAATATATATATAAATATATTTCATATATTTTTTTTTATATTTATATTTTATTTATTTATATTTTTATATATTTTATCTATATATCTTTATCTTTATAATTCATATATAATATATAATTTAAATATTAAATAATACATATATATTTTTTTCAATCTTCAATCTTTTTTTCTTTTTTTACATAATCCAAATACTAAATTTTTAAATTTATTACTGAATTATCTTATTTTTTTTACTAATCCTTAATTATCACTTTAATTATTATTTTTTTCTGAATAATCTAATCCTGACATCATTTTTTTGCTCATTTATTTTTATTTATATAGTTATTTTTATTCTTCTTATTTAACTAATTCTAAAGCTTATTATATATCTTTATTTTTTTAATCTAAATTTAATGCTTTCTTTAAATTATTTTTTGCTTCATTCAACTTTTTAATATTAATTATTTTTGTAATATACAACAAAGTTATATATTTACATTTTTCAAATTTAAATATCCCATTCCTTTTCTATAATAAGCTTTCATATTATTATTATCTAATAGTAATGCTTAGTCAGCCAATT